TATATATAATATGAACTTAAAAAATTTGTAAGGGTTGTATTTTTTTATGCTGAGCACTGTATACATACATTTGAAGTCATTCGCCCTCTTGTGATTCCTTTTTCAAATGATCTACAATTGATGTTTAACACAAAGTAATTTTCCCACAGTATTTCTTATAATATTGTCTCTTATTTGTCTTATTTGTCTTATTTCAGATAGAATAAAAGCAGTTAAAATTTTTTATTTAAAACCATTTAAGGTCAACATTATGAGCTCCTTATTTTCTTTTCGATTGGCAACAGAACAAATTATTGTTGTACAATGACTTGCCTAAACCTTAACTTGTCTATTTAATCTATAAAACATGTCACTAGGACTGTACTTTTTTAAAATGAACACTTTTGTACCTTTAAGTTACAATGAGGTACATTCTGGAATACATTTTTTTTAGGGTAAACATTTGTACCTTTTGGGCAGGGATGTCCAGACTCGGTCCAGGAGGGCCGGTGTCCTGCAAAGTTTAGTTCCAACCCCAATCAGACACAGCTGGCCTAGCTAATCAAGCTCTTACTGGGCTTTAGAAACATTCTTGCAGGTGTGTTGAAGCAAGTTGGAGCTAAAATCTGCAGGACACCAGCCCTCCGGGACCGAGTTTGGACACCCATGCTTCAGGGTGAAAGTTGGGGAAAGTTATTGTAAAAGTAATCCCTTACAATATTAAGTTATTTCACAAAAAAAGTAACTAGTTGCTTTACTTAGTTATTTTTTTTATGGTAAATAATGCGTTACGTTACTTTTGAGTTACTTTTGAGTTACTTTTGCATGACTTTTTCTTACCTGACTGAGGCTTGATCTTTTCCAAAACTTGCAGGGTTTTTTTTCATAGAGAAGCTTTGTAATTAACACTTCCTATAACCTTCATTTATCTTTAAAAACACATCAAAAAATAATGATAGTTAGCAGGATAATGTTATCTTCTGAGAACTTCCCCTGAAAACAATTTGTGCTTAATAGACGTCTAATAGGCATCTAAACGTAAACAGCTTGGCTAAAACATGGCTAAACGTGGGCTGTCAGTGAAAAACCGCAGATATCCACAGATCTTTAGCCCATCGTTGAGTCTATATATTTACTTGTGTAAATGTGTGTAAATTTATATTTATTAAATTGTTTAATTAATTTCACTAATATTATTGTAATATAATAATAGTAATATTAAAATGTTAATTAGATTTATTTACTATACAGTTTTTAAAGTAATATTTTCTGTCTTTTAGTAGATGTGTTATATGAGAGACTTGCTTTGTATTCGAAATAAGTGGATCTAATTGGATTTGTTTTGTAAACATTAAATAAAAGTTACAAATTTATTATTTTTATTTCATAGATTACGTTTTAGTTTTGATACTCCCAAAATAATTCTGCATAAATTTACAGATTTTTTGCAAAATTATTAGCAGATATAGCAAAAAATGTCCGCAGATTTTGTCTAAAGTAGTAGTTAAATAAACTCACT